TGATAATATTACTTTGGAACACACATCTGTAAAAATGTCAATGCACATAATTACAAGTTCTCTGGAATAAAATATTTTGAAAATTGATTATAATGCTCGCATTCAATTAAATGTATGGATACAGTTTGGGTACTAGAACAAGTATAACAGAAAAATGAGTACAATTCTGAAGGTATTCCTTTCAAAAGATATGTCAAAATCCATTCATTTTAGACACAGTCAGGTATCATGCATGTTTTATTGAATCACTCTACAAATTGAAAAAGATGAAGAACTTCAACAATCATTGGATAATGCAATGTAAAATATAATTTAACTAGTTGGTTTGGTATTTAGCCTTGAGGCAAATTACATGAACTTCCCGAAATGTGTAAATAATCGACTTGATCAAAAAAATGTGGAAATAATATACTTCATCAATCCTACTTAAAAAAAAAACGATAATAATTTTAGCAAAGTTTGACGAATTTTTAAAATTAAACTACTTGTCGTAATGCCGTAATATTACAGTAAGTTCTGTAAGACCATGATGTATATCGCCAAAAAAAGTTCCATGAAAAACGGCTTAATTTTTTTTTAACAGTTAATTACAAGAAAACGGCTCGGTAGATTTTCACCTAAAATTAATCAGTACCATTCCCATCTAATATCTTTCGAACAGTTTTTGATTTTTCAAAATCGGTTCGGTAGGATGAGCTTAAATGTGGACGAAAATTTAACACTTTTTTTCAACATTTAATTACAAGAAAACGGCTCGGTAGATTTTCACCTAAAATTAATCAGCATCATTCCCAAATGATATCTTTCGAACAGTTTTTGATTTTTCAAAATCGGTTCGGTAGGATGAGCTTAAATGTGGACGAAAATTTAACACTTTTTTTCAACAGTTAATTACAAGAAAACGGCTCGGTAGATTTTCACCTAAAATTAATCAGCATCATTCCCAAATGATATCTTTCGAACAGTTTTTGATTTTTCAAAATCGGTTCGGTAGGATGAGCTTAAATGTGGACGAAAATTTAACACTTTTTTTCAACATTTAATTACAAGAAAACGGCTCGGTAGATTTTCACCTAAAATTAATCAGCATCATTCCCAAATGATATCTTTCGAACAGTTTTTGATTTTTTAAAATCGGTTCGGTAGGATGAGCTTAAATGTGGACGAAAATTTAACACTTTTTTTCAACAGTTAATTACAAGAAAACGGCTCGGTAGATTTTCACCTAAAATTAATCAGCATCATTCCCAAATGATATCTTTCGAACAGTTTTTGATTTTTGAAATCGGTTCGGTAGGATGAGCTTAAATGTGGACGAAAATTGAACACTTTTTTTCAACAGTTAATTACAAGAAAACGGCTCGGTAGATTTTCACCTAAAATTAATCAGCATCATTCCCAACTAATATCTTTCGAACAGTTTTTGATTTTTTAAAATCGGTTCGGTAGGATGAGCTTAAATGTGGACGAAAAGTTCAACACTTTTTTTCAAATTACGAAGAAACGGCTTGGCAGATCGTTGCACAAACTGACAAACGATAGTCCTCACCGAAATACATCAAATGGCTTTTAAATTTCTAAAATCGGTTCAGGCGTTTTTGAGAAAACGTCGATCAAAAGTCTAATTTTGACAAATGCCAAAAAGACCATACTGATTTTTGCAAACTTTGACGAATTTTTAAAGCTGAACCAGTTGTCGTAGGGCCGTAATATTTTAGTATGACCTAGAAAACTATGGTATCTTTCGTCAAACAAATAATCATAAAAATCGTCAAAATTTTTTTTTTAAAAACTTTATTACAAGAAAACGGCCCGGCCGATCTATACCAAAAACTAATCAGCACGATTCCCAACCATATCTATCGAACGGTTTTTGAATTTTCAGAATCGATTCAGAATTGCGGGCTAAAACGTGGACGAAAAATTTTTCACTTTTCTGCAATTTACAAAGAAACGGCTCGGCCGATCGACGCACAAAACTCAGAGACGATAGTCCTCATCGAGATACATCAAATGGCTTTTAATGTTTGAAATCGGTCCAACCGTTTTGGAGAAAACGTCGATTTACGGCAAAAAATCTGTTCACACACACACACACACACACACACACACACACACACACATACTTTTTCCAAATTTGGTCTCATTCGATTCAGAATGGCTCGAAACGTCGAGAAAACATAAAATTAGCGATTCGGATTTTTTGATGAAAACATAAACTTCTCCTTCGGGAAGTTAATAATGGTTATTTTCCACTAATTTTGAAGAATAAACTGGAAAATTTTTCTATGAATTTATCGAAGAATGGATAGTAATATATGAAGATCTGGGGTTAATAAGATTCACCACCAATATCTTAAAAATTAGTAAAGTTTAGCATTGTTCAACAACAATATTTGAAAGTAGAGGGGAAAAGATGTATAACCAGCTATAACCTTGATTCTTATAACTTTGCTATGAGGAGATAAACGGTAATCTTTGAAAATCCATAACAAAAGTATTTCCTTTTGTTGTTAGTTTTTTGGGTTGTGAGCACTGTGATTTAGTTCACGAGACCTTAATGTAAATTTTAACTATTTAATTGTTTTATAAAATGTAATGTTAATTTTGAGTGAGATTCAACACTTTAAAAACTTACATCTGTGTGGGGCAAAAATGACCAACTGAACATTGACCACAGATAAAGATTAAAAAAGATTGAATTATACCATATTTTTATAGAAAGTGTATACAACTTCCAGTTTGATTGTATTAACAAAATATGGTCAAACGAATATTGTTATTATGAATTATATAATTTATTATTATACAAGTAGACTTTGAAGTTTATTGTGTTTATAATACCTCATTGTCTGTACAATTCAAACTATACATCCTACCACTCCTACAATAAAGTATTCTTTTTTTATTCTTTAGAAGTTGCTTAGAAATACCTAACTTAGCAAAACAACGTTTGCCGGGTCAGCTAGTATATATATGTTAAAGAAGTTAGTTTTGATGTTGATAAATATAAGTAAGTTCTTCAAGGGCAATACATCAAATAAGAGGCAAAGATTTAGAAGTTAATCTTTAATTTTTTCCAAACATTTCGACATAGGATTTTATGTCATCATCAGTGGATCTACAGAATGAACATTGAAAAATTAACATAAACTAGGAAAAAATGACAGAAATTGGAAAAAGAACTATAGATACAAGTATTATAATTATAACAATAACAATTATAACTAAACAGATAGACAAACATAAGAATTGGAAAGTAAAAAGAAATATATACAAACATACAAAAGCGTAATATATATATATATATATATATATATATATATATACATAAATATACATATAAACAGACATATATATATATATATATATATATTATATATATACGATATACATGTACAAACACGTACATATATACATATATATATATATATATATATATATATACATATATATACACATACAGACACATACAGACACATACACATATATAAACAACAATGGTAACTTACATAAATAAGGTCTTAAATCAGTAACTAGCGTATGGTACATAATTTTGCACTATCATTTATACACTAACTTAGAGCTGTCAAGAACGTTCATTTTCAAGAACCGGTTCCAAAGTCCAAAAAGGACTCGGTTCCGGAAGAACCGTGAACGGTTCCAACCCGGAACAGTCCGGATCGATCCCGGAAAATTCCAGACCGCTCCGGAAAAAAGTCCGGCTACTTTTTTCTTATTAACTTCCCGTAGTTTTCTTGACGTTTTGAAGGTTTCTGAACATTTTTGCATACCTCAGAAAAAATGGATGTGTGTGTGTGTGTATCTATGTATGGATACAAATTTCCAGTCACGTTTTCGGGCGCACGGATCAACCGATTTGAATGGTTCAAAAAACATTCGATTCCTTTTGATAGGGAAAAGAGCTGATTAGTTTTTGGCGAAGGCAGGTCTAACCGTTACGCAGATAGGGAGCAAAGAGTGCAGAAAATAGAAATCAAGTTTTTGAGAGAACGGAGTATCCGATTTGAATGATCTAAAAAACATTCAATTAGTAATGATTGGGAGAAGTGTTTATTAGTTTTTGGCAAAGGCAAGTCCAGCCATTTCGAAGATACGGAGCTAAATGTGTAAAAAATGGCAGTTTTTGAGAGAACTAAGCGTCCGATTTAAATGATTCAAAGAACATTCTGCTTGTCTTAATAAAATAATTGATTTTGGAAAAAAGCATTTTGTTTCAATTTTTTTTTTCAAAAAAAATTTTTTTTTGTATATCGAAAAAAATGCAGATTTTTCTTCTAACTATATATTTCTGACTATAGTTCTAATATACTTTGAACAAATAATTTCAACTTTGCAATTCAGTTTATATAATTCTTATAAATATTAGACAATCTTATTACAATATTTATAATAATCTATTTGAAAACATTCAGTATTCCTCGAACATTTCGTTACGGTACGGAAAGTTCCAGCAATTTGCCTTAAGGCACGATGCCATACTAGTTTTTACATTCAGTCACAAACATCCGTTTCAAGCTACGTGTCTCGCTTTTTGTTCTTGAATTTTTTTTGTAACCCTTTGAATTTTTTAATATAATTATAATTAATACTTTTTTGTGCATTACTATCTTCTATATATATAAAAATAAGTCGGGTTTTCCTTCCTGACGAAATAACTCCAGAACGCGCGAACCGATTTCGACAATTTTACATTCGTTGGAAAGGTCTCGGGCTCCGCAAGGTTTATAGCTAAGAAAATTTAAAAAAAATTCAACAGAAAAGCGGAAAACATATTTTCTTTTTTACATGCGGCGTCATCTCTAAAACTTAGCATGTACTATAAACCAAACCGCAGTCGGTAGATGGCGCCGGTAGATATATTGTTTGACATCTCAATGTTCACCGTTCAGTTAAATTCAGGTGACAAACCGGCATTGTGTTTACAGTGAAATTGTGCAAAAAAGTTAAATACGTTATTCTTTTCCGTATATCACGTGTTTTGTGCAAATTTTTGTCTTTAAAGCAGGCGTTTGTCTTTAAGGTGGTAAGTTAAACTCTGTAAATTATGTGGATAGCGCATTTGAGTTTAAATTCACCACTCTGTCCATAGTCTGAAATGCCTATAGGACGACGTGCGAACATCGGTCGCCGCACAAGACATGCAAGCCAGCAGCAAGTGTATTTACTAAACTTAAGCGAAGGCAGACAAAATATAATAAGACAAAATGCCCGGTTAAGACAACGCATCAGTACACGTAGATCATTGACATCATACAATCGCTTGGCATTCCAGTATGATCCCACTGCAAACTACAGTGATGATAAAAATTTCGATATTGGACCAATGACGACTATATGCCGATATTGCAATGCGTTAAAGTTCAAAAGAGAAACGGCTGGATTGTGCTGCGCAAGTGGAAAAGTAAAACTGGATCCATTACTTGCACCACCAGTGCCACTGAAATCATTGTTTGATGGAAGTGACCCCGATTCCAGCCATTTTCTTCAACACATCCTTCAATACAATAACTGCTTTCGCATGACTTCCTTTGGAGCTAATATCATTCAAGAAGGCGGCTTCATGCCGACTTGCAAGGTAAAAGATACAACGCACATAACCAATTACTCACACCAACACAATGAATTGCACACCACACACTACACCATCACACGATCAGAAGTTACACCGTATTCTTCAACTAATGATTGTTTGCAATTACAGATACAAGGACAAACTAGCTGTAAGTGGAATTCTGTCTTGAGGCAATTATGGCATCGTGCCTTAAGACAAATTGCTGGATCTTCCCGTACCGTAACGAAATGTTCGTGGATACTGAATGTTTTCAAATAATTATTATAAAATATTGTAAATTTTCTAATATTTATAAGAATTATATAAACTGAATTGCAGAGTTGAAATTATTTGTAAAGTATATTAGAATTATAGTAAGAATTAAAAATAAAATCTGAAATATTTTCGCTATACAAAAAACTAAAAAAAAAAAAAAAAAAAAAAAAAAAAAAAAAAATGGAACAAAAAATTTTTGTTCCAAAATCAATTATTTTGTTAAGACAAGCAGAAAGTTCTTTGAATCATTTAAATCGGACGCTTAGTTCTCTCAAAAAATGCCATTTTTTACATATTTAGCTCCGTATCTTCAAAATGACTGGGCCTGCCTTTGCCAAAAACTAATTAACACTTCTCTCAATCATTACTAATTGAATGTTTTTTAGATCATTCAAATCGGATACTCCGTTCTCTGAAAAATTCGATTTCTATTTTCTGCACTCTTTGCTCCGTATCTCCGAAACGGCTGGACCTGCCTTTGCCAAAAACTAATCAGCTCTTTTCCCATCAATACGAATAGAATGTTTTTTGAACATTCCAATCGGTTGATCCGTACGCCCGAAAACGTGGGCGAAAATTTGTTCCATACATACATACACACCACACACACACACACACACACACACACACACACACATCCATTTTTCTGAGGTATGCCAAAACGTTCAGAAACCTTCAAAACGTCGAGAAATGTAAAAATTTTCAATTCCGATTTCGGCCCATTACAATAACTTACCCTACGGAAGTTAATATACCATTTGCATGGTTCAATGGTGCCAACACCAAATGAACAGCACCAATTTCTGCAAATATATTTAATTTCGTCGATGGTGGATCAGCTGAATGTGCGGTGCAATATGCAGGAAGAGTTAAAGAGACGAGTTATTGAACAGTTGCAATCATTTTTTCACGCTAATAATGCTGTGGTTAACATGTTCAAAACAGCATTGGAACGAATGCCATCAGATACGCACAAATTTATCATAAGAGCGGATTGTACCCCAAGAGGTGAACATGTGCGAAGATTCAATGCACCCACCGTTAATGATGTTGCTGCAATTATTGTTGGCGATCCAACTAAATCGCGAGACATTGTCGTTCAGCGAAGAAGCAATATCATGCATCGCGTAAACGAGACACATCGTTTGTACGACGCGTTACAATATCCAATCATTTATTGGCAAGGGCAAGACGGTTACGACATCACGTTGAAGATGGTCGATCCAATTACAGGTGCAATAATAACACACTAATTATTTTTATTATTGCTATTATTTGTTTCCATTAACAATTCATTCCATTTTGCATTTTCAGGCTTATCAACGAATAAAAATCTAAGCGCTATGAAATACTATGCATATCGTATGATGATTCGTTCACATGAGGAGAATGTCATTCTGAAGTGCCGTCGGCTATTCCAGCAATTCGCTGTCGACATGTATGTCAAAGTCGAGACCGAACGTTTAGCGTTCATTCGATTCAATCAGGCAAAGCTACGATCTGAGGACTATATACACTTGCGAGATGCTATTCATTCAGATGGTGATGTTCAGAATATTGGACGTCTCACGATTCTCCCATCATCTTATACCGGAAGTCCACGCGACATGCACGAATACGCTCAAGACGCTATGACGTACGTGCGACATTATGGAACTCCGGATTTACTTATTACGTTCACTTGCAATCCGAAGTGGACGGAAATTGAACGTGAGTTGGAAATAGGCCAAAAACCGCAAGATCGCCATGACATAATAGCCAGAGTATTTCAGCAAAAACTCAAGGTTATGATGGATGTGCTTACAAAGTATCGAGTTTTTGGTGACACACGTTGTTATATGTACTCGGTGGAATGGCAGAAGCGTGGACTACCGCATGCTCATATCCTAATTTGGTTGCTGAATAAATTACATTCAAATGAAGTGGATGACATCATATCAGCTGAAATTCCTGATCCAGTCACTGATCCCCATCTACACGATATTGTGACGACACAGATGGTGCATGGACCGTGCGGTGCATTAAATCCATTATCGCCTTGCATGGCTAATGGAAAGTGCACAAAACGATATCCGCGACCGTTAGTTGCTGATACATTCACAGGAACGATGGATATCCAGTTTATCGTCGGCGTTCAAAAGAAGAAAATGGTCGAACTATCAAAGTTAAAGTTCAAAATCAAGAGATTGAGATCGGAAATGAATTTATTGTACCATATTGCCCGCTGCTATCTCGAATTTTCAGAACACATGCAAACGTTGAAAGTTGTCATTCGGCCAAATCAATCAAATATTTGTGCAAGTACGTCACAAAAGGCACCGACATGACTGTGTTTGGTATTGCGTCGGAAAATGCGAATGACGAAATTAGCAGCTTCCAAACTGGCAGATACGTCAGTAGTAATGAAGCACTGTGGCGATTATTGTCATTTCAAATTCATGAAAGATATCCCACAGTTATGCATTTAGCAGTGCATTTGGAAAACGGCCAAAGAGTTTACTTCACTGAGGCTAATGCGGCACAGCGAGCTGAGAGACCACCATCGACAACATTGACTAGCTTCTTTGCTATGTGTGAAGCAGATCCATTCGCAGCGACGCTGATGTACGTTGATATGCCTAAGTATTACACTTGGAATCAATCAACAAAGAATTTCCAACGCCGCAAACAAGGAACCCCAATTCCAGATTGGCCACATGTGTTTTCCACGGATGCACTTGGTCGCATATATACTGTTCATCCTAGAAGTGATGAATGTTTTTATTTGCGACTTCTGTTGGTAAATGTGCGTGGACCAAAATCATTTGTGCATTTGAAAACTGTGAATGGCCACCGATGTCAAACATATCGAGAAGCATGTCAACTATTGGGTTTGCTGGAGAACGATTCTCATTGGGATCTAACACTTGCGGATTCAGTTGTTTCATCAAATGCGTACCAAATACGAACGCTGTTCGCAATTATCATCACCACATGCTTTCCTTCACAACCAATACAATTATGGAACAAATACAAAGACGACATATGTGAAGATATCTTGCATCGCTTGCGCATTCAAACTAACAATCCTGATATCCAAATAACCGATGAAATCTACAATGAAGGATTGATTCTGATTGAGGATCAATGCTTGACTATTGCAAACAAGCTACTAATTGAAGTAGGAATGATTGCGCCAAATCGATCGATGCACGATGCATTCAACCAAGAATTAAATCGAGAGCTGCAATACAATGTTGATACATTGCAAGAATTCGTTCGAATTAATGTGCCGTTGCTGAATGAACAGCAAAAACAAGTATACGAAACATTAATGCAAGCGGTGGCCAATAATACTGGTGGTCTATTCTTCCTGGACGCACCTGGAGGAACAGGGAAAACATTTGTCATTTCATTGATTTTGGCCACTATTCGATCAAGATGTGACATAGCTTTAGCGTTAGCATCATCGGGAATTGCAGCGACTCTTCTAGATGGAGGTCGTACTGCACATTCTGCACTTAAGTTGCCACTCAATTTAAACACAATTGATACTCCAACATGCAATATTTCCCGATCCAGTGCAATGGGAAAATTGTTGACGCAATGCAAGCTCATTGTTTGGGATGAGTGCACAATGGCGCACAAGAAATCACTTGAAGCACTTAACTTTACACTAAAAGATCTTCGGCGAAATAACAACATCTTTGGCGGCTTGATGATATTGTTGGCAGGCGATTTCAGGCAGACGTTGCCAGTAATTCCCCGTGGAACGCCTACAGATGAATTGAATGCTTGCCTGAAAGCATCACCGTTATGGAATAACGTAAAAACATTATCGCTAACCACTAATATGAGAGTTCAACTTCAAAATGATCAAAGTGCTGCACAATTTTCCAAACAATTGTTAGCTGTTGGAAATGGGAAAGTCCCAGTTGATGCGACATCTGGATTAATTACTCTTACCAATGACTTTTGCCGATTTGTAGACTCTCAATTAGAACTTATTGAAAATGTTTTCCCAGACATTAGCGAAAATTATCAGAATTATGCTTGGTTAAGTCAACGAGCAATTCTTGCCGCAAAAAATAATGATGTGCACGCATTGAATTTCGTCATTCAGTCAAAAATTGCTGGCGATTTGGTGACATACAAATCCATTGATTCCATAACAAATCCCGATGAAGTAGTAGTAAATTATCCTACGGAGTTTTGAACTCTCTGGAGTTACCAGGATTTCCACCACATAACTTGCAACTCAAAGTTGGCACTGTTATAATGACATTGCGTAATTTGAATCCACCGCAACTTTGCAACGGTACTCGACTTTCAGTAAGAAGACTTATGCCGAATTTGATTGAGGCAACCATTATAACGGAAAGTACGCAGCTGAAAATGTATATATTCCTCGAATACCAATGATTCCGACTGGTCTTCCGTTTGACTTCAAACGATTACAATTTCCAGTTCGCCTTGCGTTTGCAATGTCAATTAACAAGTCGCAAGGTCAATCGCTTAGTGTTTGCGGTATAAATTTAGAAAATCATTGTTTTTCGCATGGCCAGTTGTACGTTGCCTGTTCACGAGTTGGGAAACCATCCGCTTTGTTTTGTGTTAGGCCAAAAAAACAAAAATGTTGTTTACCAAAGGCTCTTCAATAAAACATATAATTTGCAGATTCACTTTCTTTTACTTAGAGAACTTTAACTCATTTTTGTAATCAAAATAAATTCGTTACTGTTGTACAATAAAATCAAATTTTTCCTTTTCAAATATAAAACAAACAAAAAATTTCTTCATCTTTCTCACGAAACCATCTGGTGGCGAAACGGAGTTTTGTCGGGTTTGCTAGTTTAGTTATATTGTTTTGCCATGAATGCAATTCTCAAATTGGAAATTGTACATTAAAATATATTTAGTCTGCTTTCATTATTAGGTTATATGTAATTTTCATAAACTTTTAAAAAATAATATAAACTTTTTCATAAACCAATAAATTTGAAGTGTATTTTAGTTTCTTTAGTTTTTATTTTCTCAATTAAAGTTTTCGATATCCATAGAAAGAGGCGGTTTCTTTTGATCAGGAGAGAATTACAAAACTGGCTGCATATAGTATTAAAAAAATAACATATTATTAAAAGTATTACAACAAAACGCCTTAGTTTAATTGAAATAAATAGTTTACTTCATAAAAAGTAATTTAATTTCTAAATTGTTAACTTCATATAAATATAAAAATTTCATACTATGCCTACCTTATTTATACCTAAGCTCTTCCCATTATGTAATTCGACTCTTGCAGTCAGAGAGCAAGGGACCTTATGATCATAATATTAGTAAATGTACTAATAAATATATATATATATCTAAGATTTCAAAGCAGAAGCGTACTTTTAGAGCCTGGCGATTGTACATCGACTCATAAATCGTAAAACAACAAATTTCAAAAATTCCTTCGTTTGCTAATTAATTTTAAAATATGTATATTTTAAAATAGTGTTTCATAAATAAATAACAAATATATAAAATAATATTTATTAGAAACATAAACTAATATATGTTACATAAACTGATTTTTTTTAAGTGACAATTTTAAAAGTAGAAGTGTTTTTATAACTTCTATATCGTTTGAAATGTGTTGAGATGGATAAATATTTAGTTTCAGAAATGATAATTTAGACGGATTACGAAATGCGGCTCTTGTAGTCGGGTGTAGTCTATTTAAAATAGTTGGAGGTCTTTCTGATAACAAGTGTCAAAGTATGATTTGGAGAAGTCATTAAAATCATATTAATGGGCTAAAGACTGATGGCTCGCAATGAAAGATTCAGGCTAATACATATAACATGTTTAATTTTTTATATTGTGTTCGCAACACGTCTCCTTTCCTAGCTATAAACAACTAGTTGGTTTGGTATTTAGCCTTGAGGCAATTACATGAACTCCCGAAATGTGTAAATAATCGACTTGATCAAAAAAATGTGTAAATAATATACTTCATCAATCCTACTTAAAAAAAAAAACGATAATAATTTTAGCAAAGTTTGACGAATTTTTAAAATAAACTACTTGTCGTAATGCCGTAATATTACAGTAAGTTCTGTAAGACCATGATGTATATCGCCAAAAAAGTTCCATGAAAAACGGCTTAAATTTTTAACAGTTAATTACAAGAAAACGGCTCGGTAGATTTTCACCTAAAATTAATCAGTACCATTCCCATCTAATATCTTTCGAACAGATTGATTTTTCAAAATCGGTTCGGTAGGATGAGCTTAAATGTGGACGAAAATTTAACACTTTTTTCAACATTTAATTACAAGAAAACGGCTCGGTAGATTTTCACCTAAAATTAATCAGCATCATTCCCAATGATATCTTTCGAACAGTTTTTGATTTTTCAAAATCGGTTCGGTAGGATGAGCTTAAATGTGGACGAAAATTTAACACTTTTTTTCAACAGTTAATTACAAGAAAACGGTTCGGTAGATTTTCACCTAAAATTAATCAGCATCATTCCCAAATGATATCTTTCGAACAGTTTTTTGATTTTTCAAAATCGGTTCGGTAGGATGAGCTTAAATGTGGACGAAAATTAAACACTTTTTTTCAACATTTAATTACAAGAAACGGCTCGGTAGATTTTCACCTAAAATTAATCAGCATCATTCCCAAATGATATCTTTCGAACAGTTTTTGATTTTTTTTAAATCGGTTCGGTAGGATGAGCTTAAATGTGGACGAAAATTTAACACTTTTTTTCAACAGTAATTACAAGAAAACGGCTCGGTAGATTTTCACCTAAAATTAATCAGCATCATTCCCAAATGATATCTTTCGAACAGTTTTTGATTTTTTGAAATCGGTTCGGTAGGATGAGTATAAATGTGGACGAAAATTTAACACTTTTTTCAACAGTTAATTACAAGAAAACGGCTCGGTAGATTTTTCACCTAAAATTAATCAGCTCATTCCCAACTAATATCTTTCGAACAGTTTTTGATTTTTAAAATCGGTTCGGTAGGATGAGCTTAAATGTGGACGAAAAGTTCAACACTTTTTTCAAATTACGAAGAAACGGCTTGGCAGATCGTTGCACAAAACTGACAAACGATAGTCCTCACCGAAATACATCAAATGGCTTTTAAATTTCTAAAATCGGTTCAGGCGTTTTTGAGAAACGTCGATCAAAAGTCTAATTTGACAAATGCCAAAAAGACCATACTGATTTTGCAAAAAACTTTGACGAATTTTTAAGCTGAACCAGTTGTCGTAGGGCGTAATATTTTAGTATGACCTAGAAACTATGGTCTATCTTTCGTCAAAAAAATAATCATAAAAATCGTCAAAATTTTTTTTAAAAACTTTTACAAGAAAACGGCCCGGCCGATCTATACCAAAAACTAAATCAGCACGATTCCCAACCATATCTATCGAACGGTTTTGAATTTCAGAATCGATTCAGAATTGCGGGCTAAAACGTGGACGAAAAATTTTTCACTTTCTGCAATTTACAAAGAAACGGCTCGGCCGATCGACGCACAAAACTCAGAGACGATAGTCCTCATCGAGATACATCAAATGGCTTTTAAATGTTTGAAATCGGTCCAACCGTTTTTGGGAAAACGTCGATTTACGGCAAAAAATCTGTTCACACAAACCCAACACCACACACACACACATACACAACACATACTTTTTCCAAATTTGGTCCTCATTCGATTCAAATGGCTCGAAACGTCGAGAAAACATAAAATTAGCGATTCGGATTTTTTGATGAAAACATAACTTCTCCTTCGGGAAGTTAAAAAAGTTCTTCGCATTTGGTCTGTTTAT